ATCTTGAAGCAACACCTTCTGCCGTGACCTGCCTCCTGGGACGAGTGGGACTCAGGAGCTTCAGGGTCCCGTTTCCCCAGCGGCAAGGGCTGGTTCTGCCTGGTGCCATGCCTCAGGGAGACATCTCACTTGGCAGGTGCAGGCTGGACCACAAACAGCAGAGAGAGATATTTTGCAGTAAGTATTGCATGAGGACTGCCCTAAGCACTTTTTTAGTATTTGGTCCAAGCTCTGGGGATAAAGCCAAGAAATTTTACTTCATCGACTTTGTCCCTATTTCGCTGCCTGGCATTGTAGGGAGGTTTTAGTTTGGTGCTTTATAGGAATTCCGGCATGTTGTGGTGGAAGTGGTAAAACATGAGGCAAGCTTTCTTTAAGGAAGTTAAAGACAGGCGCCTGTTGAACCGCCTCACCCCTTTTTTTCATTGAGCTGCGTCTTGAGTGCTGTCCTGTCTCTAACCTTTCCTTTCTTGATACGGCTGTTTCTTGAAAGGTTATCGTGGGGTGACCCTAACTTGACATAGTATTCTTGCATTTCTTCCCCTTCTCCTAGGCTAAGCGTGGCACGCAGGGTCGAGTTCTCTTAGGGGATGAGCAGCTCCTCCAAAGAGAGGTCAAAACCCCAAGCAGATTCTTTGATCTATCAGCAGCTTTTGATCCATTTGATCAAGAAGCATTATTGACCGGTTTGTGAATCCTAGCTCTGGCAATGGTCTGAAGAGCTCTTTTGGCAAATTGGAAGGGGGGTGGGTGAGAGTCACTGGGGATAATGCAGGCTTGTTTTTGACTCATCACCTCCTATCCCACTGCTATCCAAAGTCTGCATTTTGGGGGAGAGCCGATGTGGGCTGCGTAGCTCTGCATACACAGATAACTCATGGCTCTGCATCTGCACTAAGTAGATCTGCACGTCATGTCTCCGACATGGACTTTGTCACAGCCACACCTGCCCATGAGACATTTGATTTGGATTGCAGTTTCTCAGAAACTGCAGCTGGTTCAGTCTCAGGCCATGACTCAGCAGCGCTGGTTATGAGGAATGTGGTCTCTGCAGCCTTCCCTGCTTCCAAATCAATTTCAGGTGCACGTCACACTCTGTCAGCTACACAAAATTTTCTCTGATTTTTTTTTCATTTCTGGCTGCTGAGCATCACCAGACCATGACCAATAGGATAAGTGGAAATCTTCTATTCACTGGTGTGTTCTTGGATTACCATTCCCAAAACAGAGATGGTAGAGGAGGATGCATGTCTTGCTCGGCAGCTACTTTGGGAAAAAGTTAGTATCTTGTCTTAAACTGTTGCTGAAGATGGGTTCATGCCGGACGTTGTATGGAAGCAACTGAGGTGCAGGCATATGTTCCCTTCTGCTGACTTGGCTGTGGTGATGCTAACCACAGCCAGCAAAAAGGAGCGAGCAACTGGGAACAGTAACATCTCAAACTGCAGCAGAAAGATTGGCGAGACCTCTCCTGTCAGCACTTGGATTCCCTTGGTGTTCATTGAGGAATTAAAAGTTAACTGAGGGTGGTGGCAAAAAATAGGTTTGCCTGCCTAGAAAATGCTAAAGCCAACGCTGAAAAGCAGAGGTGGATCTGAAGGCAGTTTTCTCTCTTGGAATTTATATGGGGATTAAAACACATATCGTCCTTGTAGCACATAGGCAATTTTATAATCACTGCTGGTATTTCACCTCAGGGTACTCCGTGGGGTAAAGAATTAATTTTTCTAAGGAATAGAAGCCTGGGATTTGCTGCTAGTCATAAAGGAGAGTTTGCAGCCAAACTAAATGCTTTCTGGACCTCAGAAGCAATTGAAGGGTCTGGGATGGGTCAGGGTGTACCACCACACCTCCGGAAGTCGAGCCAGGGAAACATGCACGCAGAGAAATGCCACAAGATGTTACACGGCCATTTCACTTCCACGTCAACAGGAAAAGATACTACAAGGCTGTGCAAAGTGTAAGACAAACTGCTGTGCAAAGCAGCGGCTGCAAAATTAAAATACAGGATGTCTTATCACATGCAATGTGGTGCCTCCTTACTCCCCCCACATCTCTACTTGTTACAAAAAGGAATCTCTTTCTTAATGAAAAAAACACCCAGTCTTGAGTAAGAGGCAATGTACACATTTTTTTTCTGTCAGGGGTTAAAGTGGCATCTTTGCACAACACCACCCCCCATCCCAGCAAACCTGCCAGCAGTTGAAAGATATAAATAGGGACATTTAGGGAGAAAAGCATATTTAAGTTACTTTGAAATGTGCTTGGCTAAAGGAATATTTTTAAGAGAGGGAGTGGAAAAACAAATGGAAAATGTTTTCTTTGAAAGGGAAAAAAAAGCAACAAACTGTCCTTCCTAAACAGAGATACTTGGCTGGTGTTTACTTTACGCAGCCCTGGGTCAGACCTTGCAAACAACTACTAAATTAGGTCCAGCTACTTTGATGCTAAAAGCATGGAAGTGCCAATAATTAAGTTGCATCAGATGTAGGAAATGACTGATGTGACTGCCATGCTCACGATAGCAGAGTTCACTGTGCTGCCATTTGACCGACCCCTTTTTCTTTATGTAAGCAAAAGGAATTTTCTTCTAAGGAAAATCAGCCTGGTTTGCACCTTTGTTTTGTTTTCTGAACTGCTAATCCCCTGAAGGTATAGAAGCTATTTGAAAGAGCAAATCAAAGCTCCCATAATTTAGTGTTATATTATTTGTTGATGTATGGTTTGATTCAGTTGGCTACTTATTATATCAGGTTACCATATAATTATCTTAATTATTGACTCCAGAAGTAAGTAGAGGGATTATGAGAGAGACAGGAAGGCCCAGTGGAAAGAGCATGGCTCAGGGAATCGAACACATCAGGGTGTGCTCTTGGCTCCGCCACTCATTTATTCTGAGCCTGAACTCTTCCCTCAGCCAGCCCGGCTGTGAAATCGGGAGGGATTGCAGGGACAGGACTCAGATGCTGACCCAGGATTCAAAGAGATGCAGGAGAGCGGTGTAAAAATGACAGAGGAAAGTTCTGAAAGAGAGGTGAAAAATTAGCACAAAAAAAATGAATACAGACCACAGCATGCATTTGCATCACTGCGTGGAGTGCCTATATGGTCATGGAGAAGGGCAGTTTTCCCACGAAGGCCTGAAATTTGGGTCTGATCACAGCTCATTTCCAGCCTCTGCTACCAATTTCCCATGCGAAATCAGGTAGCCCTCGGATCCCTTTCTGCAAAACAAGGATGATAAAAATCATCCTTCTGTCTTTGGTTTTAGCTACGCAGATTATTGGAGCACAGCTCCTCGCACAGCCATGGTTCTCATGACATTGCTGCCATTTGTGGCTTTTAGTCTCCTCGTCCTTTGTCTGATAACCATCGACCAAAGCCAAAGGTTTGAGTTAGTAGGCACCACTGCAATATAAAAGCAACATCGAAAGGCTGTCAGCGCAGTCTATACTTCCTGTATTGATAATATTTGACATATACTGACAAAATACTTCATCTATTGACAAGCTGAGTTGCATCATTTTCCCTAAGAGAGGAGCAGACACGCTGGTTCTGCTCAGCCTGTGCAAATTACTTTCTCCGGTTTTGCTTTGCTCTCCCGAGCCAAAAAAGTGGGGATAATAGAATGTATCTATTTCCTTCCTAGAAAAGATCAGTTAATGTGAAATGGTGCATGGTGGCTTAGTGCTGAATAAGTGGGATACCCTAATCCAGCAAGGTATCCTCGTTCTATTGTACGCCTTTTCTGCATACCATCTGGAGTTGTTCTCTGCTTAGTATTTTCAGTATGTACCATATGTTTTTGCATGAAAATTCAATAAAATATGCATTATACATGAAAAGTGCTGTAGTAAATAAAGGAAGGGTGGAATCCAGTCCCCTTTGTGAACGGCAGGGGCCCCAAATCTTCATAAAAGGTTTAGTCTAGTCTGACGTCTGTGCTTTTCTCCAATTTACTGTGTGTCAGTCTTTAGGAGATGCTCTAATTTAAAACAAAACTCTGCTTTCCTGGCGAAGGTATTAGATGTACTTGGGCTGCCCTCTGCTGAGAGCACTGAATAAGACAGGGAAAATGTCCTTTTTCCAAGGAAGGTAACAGTGGGAGAAATCCTGATCATCCACGTGCTGAGTCGTGTCACTGCTGCTGGTGGTCATCCACGGTTTGGTGTCTCTCGCTGTCTGTTTGCTGCCTGTCAGAGGGCAAAGTATTCAGAGCTACAGCCCTCTTTGGGTTGTAGTGCCCACCACTCGTTGTCAAGGGCCGGGTGGTTTTGCAGACTTATGAAAATGTGGGCTCAGGCATTGCCCGTCGTGCAAAATTAAGCAGTGTTACGCAAGGGGTGGCCACAGAAGGAAACAGGCTTCTCTCCCCAGGTACTGTTGCAATCTGCCGGCTGGGATTTGAGCTGTACCTCAACCCCCTCCACTGACCAGAGCAATTTGCCCCTGCGTGCCGTTCCTCATCGGGGTGCCGGTTTGCTTTCCAGTGCCATCTCCCACCCCTCTGCAGGCATCACAGCACTAGAACTCTGCTTTATAACTGGGAAAGGGCAAAGGGTCTGCTCCAACATCAACAAGAATATCTGAAGGACTTGCTGTTTCTTGTGAACAAAGTGCTCCTGGTCTGCCATGCTCTCATCTTTGGGAAGAAACAAGGGTCCTGTGCAGATTGTAGTGCATGTATAAAGCTCTGTTGTAGCTGTTAATGCTCTCCATAATGCCCTGGTTTTAATAATTCCTAGCAAGTTGATGTATTATTACATCTTCAGCTGGGCTGCACACCAAAGCGTTTTGATGATGAAAGGAATGTTATACACACATTTAATTACTGCCCACATTTTTGTATAATTTTATCATTTACTGTTTTAGATGAGACATCGAGTTCTTCTACAGGAAAAATGCCCAGTCAAAAATAGATGATTTAAAAGCTAATCTGAGATGAGTTTGGCACTTAAATGTGAAGAAATGTAATTGTTCCTCTCTTCCTGCCTTTTCAGATGGTCCCTGATTACCAAAATGTACAAGAACTCCCTTATCTGGACATGGTGATTGCAGAGACATTGCGCATGTACCCACCTGCATTCAGGTATCCTTTTTTTTTCCCCCCTTCTGTTTCCACAGGGTGGATCCCTAGCTTTATAAAATAGAAATCTGCTGTTGGAAAACCAATGTGTCCTTGGTCTCTGTGCCAACATCAATACTGCTTGTGCATTTGAAAGGTATAATGTGGCCTATTGAGGGAAAACTGGGTAGTACTGGTGTTTCTAAAGCAGTGTTTTTACAGTGGGTTGGCCAAGATTGCTTGTTCACTGTTCTTCACATCCCCCAAGGTTAGAGGACAAAGCCATTTTGTAGCAAGACTAACCTTAGAAAGCCTTAGAAAGGCTGCTGCTTCTGTGTGCCTTGGTCTTGGGCTTTGGGGATATGGAGCAAACACCTATTCTGGCCTCTTGGTCATTAAGGCCCTGATCTGTGGAAGGGTTGCGCATCCAGAAAGCTGTATTTTACGTGTGTTTAACTTGGACCCCTACCGTTTTGCGCTTAGTACTGTGTTATACTAATATAGCAAAGCTAATGGCTACATCCATTAAATTTTGAAAGTATTGCCCCAATTCACACAAGACTAATTTTAATAAGTTATATTGATGAATCGAAAACACAGGGAAAAGAAATTAGAAAACTGTTTGATTGTCAAATCTCCAAGTTATCACAAGCATAAATGCAAATGTTAAGAATGGAGCTTTTCAGAGTGGCCAGCCAGTTGCACTGCTTCTCATGAAGCCGGAGGAAAAATTCAGATGTCTGGAAAGGAGCCAAAGCCAAGCTTGCTGTGAGAGCCTTTGAAAAATTTACCCTACGATTGCAAGCACCTTAAAATAAAATAAAAAAAAAAGCTTAAAATCATATTCTTTTTTATATGTTCACAAAGATCAGAAGTCTGGATTTTTCCATGGACATCTGCAGGATTGTTCAGAGAGTAAATGTCAAAGATACTTGCGCTTGGATGAGGTGACTGGGCTTTACTATGTTGTACATGGTATACAAGTGGAAATTGTTTTGCCAGTTAAAGCGTTAGGGATCTTTGAGTTTCAGCTGAAACGCTGGGAAACAATCAATGTTTGTCAGATGGGAGACAGAACGAGAACGGAGCAAAGTTGTTCCGAAGTTTCGGATGGCGTTGTCGGTGGTGTTTATTGATCTGGCTCTTACTCTGATGGATGTGGAATGGATAGGACAGCCCAGTGCCTCAGAAAGATGCTAATTGCCTATGACAAGGATAATGCTGAGTTAGGGTAAAACTCAGTAACAGCCAAGCTTGTTATAAAATCAGTTGTTTGTTTTTTTAAAAAAATGAACTTACTAGCCAGAGAACTTTCTTCCCCAGAACTCATGTTTCCACTATCACCAAATTCATGTAAGGATGAGAAGGATGGCTTGTCAACGTGGTTTTTTTAGCATGCCAGTGTTTTGTTCCAGCTTTGGAGCCTCTGTTATTTATTTGTCTGTGAGAAAGAGAGAGATGGGTGACAGCAAGGAAAGAATGTGTTCCTGTAATGATACCAGACTGACAGCCCCTGAAACTGAAATCTTTGTTCAACTTTTTAGGCACAGCGTGGGGAGCAGCGAAGGGAGCTCCTGCACCTTCTCTCTCCCCTGTGCTCCCAGCTGGTGCTGAGGAATAGCTCCTAGGCTGAGACAGCAGGGCACCCACCCAGGTCTGGGCTGCTTTGGGGTCCGTAGCGACCACCCAAAACACCAAAAGAGCTAGATCAGGATCTGCCACCACTCACGCACACCCACACACCATTTTTTTACAAGGTTTACACACCCAAGCTCGTCTTTGACAGGCGGCTTTTCTCAGTCTTCTTGTCACGATGAGGTTCCTAAGGACAGTCCTACTCTGTCACCTGTCACCACAGGGTAGGAGGAAACTGGAGAGTTTTGTTGCTAACGTCATGCCTATCCTTGATGAGTATATGTGAGCTGCAGTTTTCCAGGGCTTGTGAATTGGTGTTATTTTTGTAGCAGCAGCAGAACACGTAGCCCTAACATTAAAACCACCCCTTGCTAAGTTTCAGGTGCTGTCCCAATGTGGGGGAGCTTCTCAAATAAACGCAAAGCCTATATTTAATTTAATTTTTTCTGAAGGCAAGCCACTATACTCTTTCTGCCTGTTATTAGAGATGACTGACACATTTCACCTGCAGTTTTCATTAAAAAAATGAGCCTAAAAACCAACATTAGCAGCAAAATTGCAGTTTAACAGTTAACATTTTGGAAAACCGTAAGCAACCAGAAATACTTTACTGTGAAAAGGGCAAAAGTTAGCCAGCTGGGTTGGAGCTGGGTGCTCCTAGATGGAGATGATTGTAACCTGAGAAGACACTAGCATCAGCAACGGTTGCTGTATTTATCTTCCAGGAAAGTGTTACTCCCGAAATTGCGGGGTCAGTCCAGCTGAAGAGATTGCTTTTTATGGTTCCCTCCTGCTGTGTTTTTACCTTTATTAATCATCTGGGATACATGACACTCACTGTTGCAGGTTCACTCGGGAAGCAGCTAAAGACTGTGTAGTGCTGGGGCAGCGTATTCCAGCTGGGGCTGTCATTGAAACCGCAGTTGGACATCTCCACCACAACCCTGAGTTCTGGCCAGAGCCTGAGAAGTTCATTCCCGAGAGGTACGTGGAGTAGCGCTTTCCATTCTTAGGTTGAAGTCCTTATTTGGGCCTGTTTAGATCAAAGGCCTGCCTTAAATGCTGTTTCACATGTTAGGGTGGGCACAGGAAGCCAGCCTGTCCAGCGGAGATGCCAGATCCTGCTGCTCCATCACAGCCACGGTCACTCTGCTATTCACCCAAAGCAGTATTTCCACCAAGAGGAGCACAGTTTCATTTAGATCATAAAATATGTTATTTTTACCAAATTAGACAAGTGATGCTAGTGGCGCATCCCACAGAAGGTGGAAGACCTGGTCAAGGTTGAAACGTGGCACAAGTTTTTCAGACCTGTTTCCAAGTCAGGTGCTGCAAATAGCGTCACCTCGGGATGCAGAAATTCTGACAAGAGATGACATATTCACTGGCGTGGAGCTACCCAGGAAACTCACCCAGCTCCTGGCTGGTTTAGAGCAGCCTTTTCACCTGAGATGAAATGGTATGGGTACACTGTGAGTGGGGAACCTGTCCCATCTCCCACTTGGAATTTGCTCTCTGTCCGTAATTTAGGATTCTGGGTTCTTAGCTCCACTTGGAAAGACATATGTTCACATGGAGCATTTATTCTCTTCAGCTGGGGGGGCACTGTCAAATTGTGTTCGTGTACCCTGCCCTATCTTACAAATGCTGAGTTGAGCTTGCAGGGAGAGTTTCAGCTGATGCAGTGCTGTGTGGAAGCACAATTTTATTTTGTGGGCAGCTATATTTTAAGCTGTTCTGTGGGCAGCTGCATTTTAAGCTACCACTACGTTGAAAAGTCTACTAAGAAAAAAAGTGAATGCTCCATGAACAACTGGGCGTGATGCAGGCAGCCCAGAACCATCTTTGCCAGCAGGACAGCATGTGTATGGTGTAAGTGGGTTTGCCCAATGCTCCTTCTGGAGCACATCTTGGCATATGCTCTATCAAGCACCTTAGGCCATGAAGAAGAGCAATGCCAGGGTTGGAGAGGCCCAGAGCTTTTGTTGGGGAGGAATCTTAGCAATAACTGGAAGTCTGGGGGTTAGCAATGCTTATCTAGAAATGCTGTCTTAATTGTTTATTCACCACTTTAACAGTAGTATGAAAGCACATCACAGGGTAAAACGAATAATGGGGGCTGCAGTCCCCTTGACTCCTACGGTGATGTTTGTAATGTATCCGAGATGAATTCCTTTTTGAAATTTCCCTGAGGAATGAAGCATAATTACTAACACTCTCCCCAGCTTGTATCAGTTGGTAATGTTAGTAAGAATTATAAAATATGAGCTTAACAAAAAATAAATTAATTCAGCTACAGCCTTTTTTTCCCCTAGTATTTCGTTTTGAGATCTGCCTCAGGAATAATACAAGGCAGACTTTAAATTTACCAGAATGATATATGGGGGTGAGCAAGGCAAGAATCCCATTAACCTGTTTGCATGGGATATGCAACACTGCTCAGTACATGAGTTAATGGTCCTTCAATCTCAAATTATGGGCTTCTATAGTACTTTCTGCAGTAGTATCCCAATTTTATTTAGGATATCTAAGCATGGGGATGGGGTTAGTGGAAATACACAATATTATTTTCTTGCAAATCTCAAAGGTGAGTGAAAGGAAGTGTAATGTAGAAAAGCAAGGGAAAGTGGGATGCTTCTTTACAGATACTATTCACAGCAATTTGAAAACCACCAAATGACTGTGGAGCCCACATTGCATTTTAAGAAGTGGCTGGAGGATCTCCCACAGGAGGGCAGTGTGGCAGCACCTACTGACCATGAGCCAGACTTTGGCTCCTGCCCGTCTTTGGGGTTTTGAAAAATAATTATATCCAGTGAGTCACTGAACAAGGTCTCCCATGGCAGGACCATTAACTCGTGTACTGAGCAGTGTTGCATATCCCACGCAAACAGGCTAATGCAATTCTTGCCTTGCTCACCCCTATATATCATTCTGGTAACTGTAAATTCTCCTTTGTACCCTGCATCAGTTTTCTGGGAATTAGCAGCCTAATGTTCTCGCAAACTGTATCCAAACAGATGAGGAATTTTCAGGGAAGATCCTGTACATGAAGGACAGAACCTTTATCCACATACAGAACTGGAAAAGTAGTTCTGTACTACCAGACCAGGTCCAAATACCTTATGACATGGGAGGACTGTGTAGATTTCCAGGGTAATGCCACTGCTGTAAAGATTGCTTATTTTAAGAAACCCCTCTGATCAGTGGCTCAGCATGGGCCAGGATGAGCCTCACCTTGTTGGTTACGCATTGGCCCTAACAACTTGTACTGATTCATACTCTGTGCTCTTGTCTGTGCATACTCCGTCCAGTACACATCCATCTTTGCAGATGTTGGCAAAGAGATTTTATTTTTTTTCCTTTGGACTGCTGTTCAAAAAGGATTTATTTTTCCTTCCTTGTGAGAAAAAAAAAAAAGCGCCTCATTTCTAATGGGTTGATCAAGTATTTTAAAGCTAGCTAGTTGACGCAGATCTGCATGCAGACTGCCACATTAATGTCTTTCCAATTGGTCTGCAGTATTTCAGCTCTCAGAACAGAAATGTCTGCAATTTCAGTGTCTCCCAACTGGGAACCTGGTCTCTTTGGGCCAAGAGCAGAAAGAAAGGCGGTGCTGAATTGTAATATGTGTCTTCCATGGCCTGTCCAATCCCATGAGGTTTCATCTCCCCTTGCAAGCTTCAAAGAGAAATTCCCGTTGATCTGCTTCTGCGGTGCACAGCAGGGAAGCACTGTTGCTAATTCTAGTTAGTTCACATTGCAGCCCATTAGTTTACTCTCAGCTGTCTCTCTCTCTCTCATACATGCAAAGGTCTACACAACTAGCAAGTCTGCACCTGAAGTTATCATTCTTCTGAGTGTGGCTGTTGAATGAAGGCAATTCATTAAAGATAGATTGGAAGTAATACTGATGTCTGTCTGTCCTCTCCTGGAATCACCAGCTGACACAGACTGATGTCTGTACATCAATTACCTGTTTATTGAAGGGCTCAGCCCCATCAGGACATAATCTGTCAATAGTCCCCTTGACCTGCTTCATCAAGACCAATTGAAATCACCTTTTGAGATGTAAATGAAAACCATGGAATCAAGAGCAAAAAGCATTTCTTGAACCAGTTTCCGTCTCTGCACCTTCTAGGTTTACAGAGGAGGCCAAGAAGGAACGACATCCCTTTGCATACCTGCCCTTTGGGGCAGGACCCCGTGGCTGCATTGGCATGAAGATGGGTTTGCTGGAGACAAAAATTACTCTGCTGAGGATTCTGCAGAAGTTTCAATTTAAGACCTGCTCAGAGACTGAGGTTTGTATATGCAGAGGCTTGAAGGCCACACTTGTCAACTTCAGTGAGTTGACAGTGTCCCATAGACAGGACGGCTTATTTGCCTTTGTGACTTTCTCTTCATTTGAGAAAATTGCTAGAGCTGCTTCCATAATAAAGAGTGGTAAGAGGCCTGGACTGCATGTTTTAAGCAAAATGTGATTTAACCTTTATGATTTCTCCAGCAAAACAAACGCTTACACACCCCTGCCTTAGTGGAGAGCAGTGTAGCAATACTGCAGTCAAAATGTCTTGATTTAGACAGGGTGAGAATGGGTGAGTTCATGGGATCTCATCATTTTAGTATATGACTATTGCTATACATATATATATATATATATATATATATTGCACCTGGCACTTACTCAGCAGCTCTAGGGTTTACAGAGTTAATTTCTTTCTGTTCAGCTCTACAATATACCTGGGCAACCACTGCCTCAGCCTCTGGCTGTAAATTCTATTTAATATTATACTACCACAGCTGACTGTAAAACAAGTACTTTACAGCTTCCACAGTAATCCTAGTATGAATTGGTCCCCCAGCAAAAATGCCTGTCTGTATGTGAGGGTGTTACACACACATAAACAAATACATACAACTGTACATAAAATGGTTTTTTTTCTTTCAGATTCCTTTGCAGCTGAAATCCAAAGCCACACTTGGACCAAAAAATGGAGTCTACATTATGCTAGAATCTCGCTAAAAGAAAACGTAGAACCTGAAGCCTCCTGGGATGGGAGCCCTCATTCAGTGACTCACTGGGTATAATTATTTTTCAGAATCCCAAAGACAAGTAGGAGCCGAAGTCCTGATGATGGTCAGTAGGTGCTGCGACACTGCCCTCCTGTGGGAGATCCTCCAGCCACTTTTTAAGACGCGATGTGGGCTCCACAGTCATTTGGTGGTTTTCAAATTGCTGTGAATAATATCTGTAAAGAAGTATCCCACTTTTACTTTTCTGCATTACACTTCCTTTCACTCCTCTTTGAGAATGCTTTTTTCATGCTCAAGTTCAATGAATGGAGCAGGTGTTAAGCGTACACTAGATTTACAATAGCTTTTAATTACAGTTCATTATCTCACACATCCTTCTCATGTGCTTCTAAGTCCCTGCTCTAGAGAAAGCCCAAGAGGCACCACAGTTATAGCAGAAGACCTGGGATCCAGTACGTTGGGTTTTTTCCTGAACTCTGCTAAAACTCAAAGTGGAGTCTCCTGCACAATGCTTAATCTCTCCCTGTGTCTGTAAAGTGGAAGAAGTTGCACTTCTTCATGATTTTAGAGTGATTTGAAATGCACTTAGATTAACAATTTGCACTTGGGGCATTGCATTGACATGACTGAGGAGGAATGAAGAGCTCCCCTGTTTACCAGTTAAGTTCCGGTAGCTAAGATCAAAGAAACGAGGTGGCAGCCATTTCCTGGTTACTAAACTGCTGTTGGAAATGTGGAGAGAAGAAGATACAGAAATTTAATAAAAGCAGGAAGACTGGAGGCAATTTAAGGATGTTCAGAAGGTGTTGGTACAACATCTGCTTCACTGCTCTGAGGCTTCTCCTTCCCATGCACTGCACTTGGCACCATCCTTGTCTAGCTCATTGGCTCAAGGAAATTAAGAGCGCTGCATGTACTAAAGCCAATGGCCAGGGGGCAGGATCCAGGATCATGAGTCCCAGCAGCTTTCTTGATTCCTTATATGACCCCGGAGCAGCTCATGCCCCAAGTGCCTCACTCCACTCAGGAAGGGACTTGTCTGATTGCCAGCTGCGGCAGCACCATGGGTACGTCCAAGCGGTATGGCTGTGCACGGGCAGCTTCACAGCGAAGCAGCAGCATGCTTTCACGCTTTGCATTCCCTCCCTGCTCTTCCTACTCCTCTACAAAGCCCTTCAATCACCACACAGCTGGTGGAGCATCACACAGCAGTCATCGATTGACCTGAAA